CAAAGCAGCGGGAGGTTGCGGATTGTCTCCGGGACGGATGGCTTTCCGACATACTTTTAATGGACACGAGGGCCACGCCTTCGCTCTAGCTGATTCTGGTAGTTTTCTTTTCAAACTGACCATTTTTTGATAAGCTTCGAGCCATCGAGCGTGGGAGGAGGGGGATAAAAAAATATCATTGCTACCTGAAAAGTCCGTAGTGATTTCCAATATTCTCTCCGCCCGGTGCCCAACAAGTACTCGGCCACCCTGATTCCGTCATACTTTCTTTCTACACCAATGTTAACCAGCAGTCTACCCAAGCGGCATAGTGCTCTCTCAGGGACGTTAGCGGTGCAACTACTCGTTATTTTTAGAAGAGAGGGAGAGTGGGGTAGGGTGTGCCAGTGCTTACAGAGCTGGACAAATGGATCGACCGATTTACGCCGGGTGCCGCCCAAAGAGAGGGGATATTTCTATGTGTTCAAATGGCACGCGGTAATAAGACGGCCAGCAAATCATGAACTCCGGCGTGTAGACGCACCTTGTGTGAACACAAGAGGAGGGGGATAAGGGGGGAAACACGGAAACGTACATCACGAGCATGCATCACGAAAGACAAACGTAGGTTGCGCAGGGAGGTCGCAAGTAGCTACAGGCAATGACCGCGGTCCGGCGTTTTTTGCATCCTTTCCGCAAGGATACTCGAAACAGCGCACAATTGCAACTCATCACGAGGCAGACCTTACGCCATGGCGTACTGCATGAAACCGTCGATTGCAGAAGTCAGCACCCCCATGTAAATGGAAAAGTATTCGCCATCTGGTTCTTCCTCTCTTCCGTCACAGGCTTCACACTATTCTGCTCCTTCAAAAAAAAAAACCTTGATTTCTTACGCATGCCTCAAGGAACCGCCCCCGCGGATGACAAGCAGAGCGTTGCGGCTGTGGCCGACATCGAAGGCGGCGTCGGCGCGGCGGCGCAGCTGGTTGGCCGCGTGCGCCGTGTCCTTGCCTTCACCGGCGCTGGGATCAGCACTACGTGCGGTGTGCCGGCCTTCCGCGGACCCGGCGGGCTGTATGATACCGTCGCCGCCGCCGCTGCAACAAATGGTGGTGACTTTCCGACCGACCCACAGGTGGCCCCAATGCACCATCACCCTACCCATCTTGTCGCTTCCGTTCGCTGACAGCTTTTGGCCCTTGATTCCTCCGACCCTCCCCCCCCTTCTCTCCCTCCACGCCTCATTATTTTATACTTGCGCCCCTTACGTGTATGGATGCAAGGACCTGTTCGACCTCGAATATTTCCGCGGGAATCCACAGCCGTTCTACACATACGCAAAGGTAGCCCTACCACTGTCAGTGCGCGCGATCTAATCGGACAACATGCCCTCCACACCTGAAACCCATTCGCAATGTACTCCGTGCAGGCCCTCCTCCCGCCTCCAGGCTGCCAGCCGTCCGCGACGCACATGTTCCTTGCGCAGCTGGCGCGGCGCGGCGCTCTGCTCCGCAATTACACGCAGAACGTGGACGGGCTGGAGGCAGCGGCAGGGCTGCCGACGTCGCGAGTAGTGCACTGCCACGGTTCGCTGCTGCTGGACCGGCCGCGCTGCTGTGTCTGCGGCGCGGCGTACCCGGTGCCGCGGCTGCTCGAGGCTCTCCAAGCTGCAGAGGTGCCGCGGTGTACGCGGTCGCTGCGCAGGCGATCGGTCGCGGCGCGTTCAGGCGCCTTAGCTGCGGCAGCTTTGTCTCCTCGGAGATCGGCCCGGCTGGCTACGGCTAGGGCTCCAGATGCCGACGAAACCGCAGTGGATCCTGCCGTCTTTTCAGGCCCGCGTCCTTCGCCTTCGTCGACTTCAAGTGCGCATGCGTCGGTACACCATGCTGGGCACGCTGGAACCTGCGGTGGGGCAGTGAAGCCAGGCATCACCTTCTTTGGCGAAAAGGTCAAGGGGCAGCTGACGAGTCGGATCGCGGCCGACGTTGCGGCGGCGGACCTTGCGCTGGTTATGGGCACGTCACTATCGACGGATCCGGTGCGCGGGATGGTGGGCCGACTGCCGCAAGAGCTGCCAATTGTGGTGGTAAACCAGGTCTGGCCCGAGGGCGCCAAAAGCAGCCGCCCCAGCGGGGATAGATTACGCGATGGACCGGACGCACCTGGGATAATCTTTTTACAAGGTGACTGCGATAAAGGTGAGAGAAACCCGTGGCGTGGAGTGTTCTTCGCAACTTCAGTTATATTGCTCCTCGTGTATTATTTCCTCACCCCTCCCACGTCTCGCATTTCATTTATTGCTTCATCTTATTTAAGGGGTTTCTTCCTGTTTTCTTATCTCCTCCGACCCTGCTTAACCGCTCACCTCCAATATCTGTTTGCTGAAAGCACTCCTCACTTCAATCATGTTCCACGTAGCTATATTCACTAACAACTCCTGTAACGGCGGTACATAGTGGTGACAGATCTCTGCGCTGCACTTGGTTGGGACACACCGCAGCACTGACTGTCTTCCTACTTTGAAGGCGATAACTGTGGTGCAAGACGGGTGGGGGGGCGAGTAAAGGCACTGAAGAACGGGTGCACCATTTCGCCCAAAATCTGTAAACTACAAGCAACGGATGCTCACTTCTTCGAGTGTGACTATGTGCTGCATCTACTGCACAATCTACTGCAGTTAAACCTCGTGCTGGTTTGGGTACACTACATTTCTACCATGTCCGCCATTGTGCGCTACCATGACCGGTAAGGTTGACGCCGCCACCACGGCCGCCTTCCAAGCGAACGCCTGCCCCAACCCAGCCGGCAACGCGCCCCGCAGGCATTGTCTACGCGAGCACCTGCCTTCTTCCCCTCTCAACCCCACCACCACTTCGCCCTACACACACCGATCTTCCTTCACTGTTCCCTTCCAGGACACCTCTCATCCCCCGTCGTCGACTACTTGCTTACTCTCGCGCAACCACAACCACCTACCACCACTGCATCCTCCACCGCGCAGTGCCCACGCCGGCGCCGTCCTCGCGTCTCACCCAGACCTCCTGCGTGCCGTCGGTCTTACGGGAGCCTCTGCCACACCCGCCGCCGGCGACCGTGCCACCACCGATAGTGTCGCCAGCGACATCCTTGTGCTTGCGCTGCCACGCGGCGGCCTTCCAGTCGCCATGCCTGTCGCCGAGCGCCTGCGCGCTAACATCGACCTACTACTCGTCAGGAAACTTGGCTACCCCGCCGCCGAGGAGGTCGCCATGGGGGCCATGTGCGCACCCCCACCGACATTTGTACCCTTGTTCCGTCTCTGCCACAGTGCCTAATATTATCCCCTTACCACCACAACCACCACCACCACCCGCCTGCCATCTTTCCAGCGCTGTCGGTGGTACGACGTACCTGTCGGACGATCTGGCCGCCCAGGGCGTCTCGCAAGCGCAGCTGCGCGCCGTCGTTGCCCGCGAATCGGACGAGCTGCGCCGTCGCCTGCGCTACTACCGGCCCACCGCTGCAGCTGCCCTGCCCGCAGTCGCTGGTCGTACCGTTGTTGTTGTCGACGGTACGTTGGGTTCTGCGCATTGTCTTTTTGTGTGTGTGAGCAGCATGGGCGTGGAAAGGAATGTAGCGGAGGGGCGGAGGGTCGGTCTTGTGGTTTCATTTCCAATCAAGAGGGGAAAAGTGTGCGGATGCTGATTTTGGGCTAAAACCCCACTGAAGACGGCATCGCTACGGGCGCCACCCTTCGAGCGGCTCTTGCGGCACTACGCGCCGCTACGCCACCGCCGCGCCGGCTGATCGTCGCCTGCCCTGTCGCCGCTCCCGATGCCCTGCCCGCGATCCGCCAGCTCGCTGACCATGTCATCGTGCCGCTTGCGCCCGCCCGCTTCCGCGCCGTCGGCCAGTGGTGAGCCGCCTCAACTCAAAGGCGTCTGGTTCTTCCTTGTTGTAATTCCCCTTCCTGCTCACAGGTACGACTCGTTTCCACAGACTGAGGACTCTGAAGGTGCGAATCCTTCTCTTACCCTTTTCGGCGTATCACTTACAGCTTACTTTGCCTCCTTGGATTGGCTGCAGTCCTCGCGCTCCTGGATCGCGCTCGCACACTTGGGCTGCTCGACTCGCCCGTTGCTGCTGCGCCATCAGCGAGCTGAGGGCCAAGTTCGATCTCGGAGAGGGGCTAGTGTGTCACACATTGAGCTGTATTCTCTTGGAGTGTCACTTCACGTGCCGTACGCACACCACTGATCCGTCCTCACCTGTATCTCGTACTCACGCAATTTCTGTCACGCTACTTTCATTGCTCATTTCCGTGACCTGTGGTCAACTTCCCCACCTGTCATTCTTTTACCCTTGCTTTATTCTCGAATCCCCCCACACTCGACCCCTTCTTTCTCCCACTGCCATGACGTATCCCTTGCGTGAACACAATACAAGCGCCCCCTATTCTACTTCGCCCAACGTGCCCACATACTGCAATCGAGGCTGATGGGACCCCCACCACACCACCTCCACCTCCCCCAACAACCTACTCCTTTCCGCAATGTACTCGTGTTCTCCGTGTTGTGTTCACCGCGGTCCAGCCCAAGAGTTGCAGCGGTCCTCCGTTTCTAGTAGCCTCTGTGGCTTATTTTTGAGACAGCCCTGCACTCAACCACGCACACTGTCGCATGGACACCAGACAGACCATGCGTGTAAGGGCGCCCGCCGCCTGTTTGGATAGTTTCTGACGCCGAGGCTCGCTGTTCAGGGACACTTATCCCTCCCCTTCGATGCCACCGAGTTCGTCCCGTGTCGCTGAGGTACTGGACGCGTTGCACCATGGGCGTCGTGCGATCGCGGGTGCCGCGTATGAGTCCTGAGAGGAACCAAGCTCGAAACTGCTGGTCTCAGTCAGCGGTGGCACCCTGTGGTAGAGACGTCAACGTTTGTCATATTGATTTCACACTGAATCTAACCAATAATGCATTCACTCTCCGAAGTTTGTTTAAACTTGATAGTCAAATTAATGTGGCCGCCAAGTCATTCAAGGGCGTATGGCGAAATGGTTACCGCGTTCGACTTCGGATCGAAAGATTGCAGGTTCAAGTCCTGCTACGCTCGATGTTTTATTACTTTATCATTACAGCCTCGCCATACGTAAAGCTACGTATAATCAAGCGTTACAGTTTTTTTGTGAAGGAAATAATATTACGCGTTTTTTTTTTCCAAACAAGGGTTAAGATTATACACAGCACGTGAATATGCAAAAAGTAGCACCCCCTGTACATAAGACCGGCGGACATTGAAATAGCAGTCTGTTCAGCCACAAAACTAGGACGGACGACGGCAAGGACGAAGAACGTGAACGGCGACGGCAACAGTCAAGGTAAGCGGACGAGGGAGAGGACGAGAATACGAGGTCGCCTCCAACCATTTTTTCTGCGCTCTGTGGGTGGAAGGGTGGCACCCCCACACCACCAACAAGCAAACGCGCAGCAGGAAGAATGCCGATCGACGCCCTCCCAGATCTGGTCCTTGGCGGCGAGATCCTCGAGCGGCAGCTGGCATCATATCCTGCGGTAGCGGTGCCGCGCGGTGGTAGCGGCCGCACGCCGCTGCTTCTGCGGCACGCGCGCCAGTGCCGCCGCGTGTGTCGCCGCTGGCGCGACCTGCTGGAGCGCGTCTTTTGGCGCCGGCTGACGGCCAGCCCGGCCAGCTTCGCTGCCATTGTGCGGACGCGCATGGCGGACGAATACTGGCCGATCGTTGGCGGCGGCGCATACGCAGAGCTCTGGCCAGGTTGGGCGCCGCTGGCTCGCGCATGCTGGCAGGATGCAGTGGGACCGGCACTGTCGTTCTGGCGCGGCGTGGCGACGGACATGGACGCGGCGGAGGGGTCAGCTGGGAGAAAGGACTTCGTCAGTGGCATGCACAGCGACTCGGCTGTGGCCATCGGCGATGGTGGTGGGCGTTTGGGCGTCGGTGGCGCGGTTGCTGGGCGCGAGTGGGCGGCGCTGGTGCAGGAGCTGCACGTGTGGGTTCCCGACGAGGCTAGCGCGAACAACGACCGGGCGGTCGGTCGGCACCCGCGGGCGTTCGCGGTGTTCCTGGCGGCGGCTCGGAACCTGCGGGTGCTGCACTGCGCGGGCGACTACCGAGATATTGTTGCGCCTCTGGCGGTGCGGAACTGCCGGCTCCTTACGTCGCTCGAGCTGCAGCCGTGGTGCCTTTCGGGCGAGACATACAAGCTGATCGGCGCGGTAGCGGGAAGGATCGGTTCGGGAACCAGAAGCACCCTGCTGGAGACGAACTTGGTGGCAGTGTTTCCGGAGCTGCGGAACCTGCCCCAGATCCACCTGCGGACTCTCAAGTCGAACGTCCACACGCTGGTTTGCCCCGATGTAGCGTCCTGCGAGCAGCTGTTCTGCGACGGCGCAGCGAGCAGGTACTCCAAGCTGCGGCACCTGGCTTTTCTCTACTCGGCACAAGGGGACCGGCCACAGCAAGGTCTCATTGAAGACATCTGCACCCGACTGGACCGCCTCCCTCCCTGCAGGCTACCTGTAACGAGCTTGAGCTTCTGCGGCAGGGCAGATATTGCCAGGTCGATCGTTCGTCATTTGCCGTTTCTTGAGGCCATCGAACTTAACTCGAATGACGCACCCCTCTCGCACGCTAGCGCCCTATCAGCTGCGAGCTCCCGCCTGGAGTACGTTTTCACAAACTCTGTCGAATTTGCGTGCGCAGCAAGTCTCAATCCGAGTCTCAGGCACCTCCATTTTGCGTACGACATTGACCATTCTTGGGACAAGCTGAAGAAATACTGTCAGTCTTTGCGCACTCTCATTGTCTCTTATAGCCAAGGCGCTTGGCTAGACGACGCAGCGAAGCACCTCCCGCTGCTGGAATGCTTCGCTGTCGAGTTCCTCGGGCGGCTCGATACGAGACAGGCGCTGCGGCAGCGGCTGCACAAGCTCGCCGAGTGCGTGGCGCGCATGCCCCAGCTCCGCTGGCTCCGGCTGCGCTTCCACCAGGCGGAGCAGCCGGCCGCAGAAAAGTTCAGCGCGCCCTGGGTCGCGTTCCTGGAGTACGTGTCCACGCACGGCGCCAGAGAGCGGCGAGGCTGGTCGGGCTCCCGCTCCGTGCCGGGGCTGGTGGTGCAGACCAACGTCCGCTCATCGGACCGCGTGTGGAGCGCCGCTGTCCAGGCGGGGATCGATTTATGGCCTCCGTCGGGCTGGATCTGGCCGGCGGCGCGGTTCGAGGTGCTGCGCGTCGACGAGATGGCCGCAGGGCGGTGCCCGGGCTGCACCAGAGTGGGATTCTTCATGTAACCGCGCGGGCTTGTATTATTCGCCATACCTTTTATTGTTATTCGTCTACCTTCTTGCCCAGAACGGCTGGCTGAAGCTGCATTAACAAATTTTGTGATTTTCTGCTTCCTTTTTCGTTTTCCATCACTGTTTGTAACTGCTGTCCATCAAGGCATCAATGCCGTCGCAATTTCCAATTTTTTTTTGTTGCGCTTGCTGAAACACTCCCCATATGCTGCACCTTCTCCTGATTGTTTCCTCACTGCTCCCATGTCACCTCCCTCCCCACGGAGATGGTTAAATGTCCAGATCTTGGTGCGGAGGAGATGGCTATTACCTTCGCCCATTCTCCCTTGCATCTCTATTACATTTTTGAAAGGGAAGATGGCCGAAGAGCCCAGGTGGGGGGAATGTAAAAGGGAAGAGTGAGTTGATTCTTCTGCCTGGTCGGTGTGGGAGGGGGGTCTAACTACTTGCCATAAGGAAGCTGTCTGGGTGGGAAAGAGTCAGAGGAGAGTGAGAGTGAGATATACGGTAAGAGGGGAGAGGGGAGGGGAGAGTTTGTGTGTACGTG